AAATTCAAAGTTCCTATATATGGACTACACCCCCAATACCGCAAAATTAGCTAATCCCCTTCCATAGGCGTAGTCACAGGGGGGGCAGCGGGGGCACTCAGATTTGGGGGGGCAAGAGTTGAAGAACAAAATCACAGCTGTTTTGAAAAAATATTAATATACATAGTTGTATAATAAAATTGAAATTGAAAGTAACTTGCCTTTGAAAAAAAAGTTGGCCATTACCCCCCCCCCCCCCCCCCCCTAAATCTCTTTTTCTCTTTGGGGTAATTTTCCCTTTTTTTTTTTTTTTTTTTTTTTTTTGCTTTTTTTTTTTTTTTTTTTTTTTTTTTTTTTTTTTTTTTTTTTTTTTTATTTTTTTTTTTTTTTTATTTTTTTTTTTTTTTTTTTTTTTTTTTTTTTGCTTGTCAAAGAATTTCTGGACTTGAGCCCCCCCACTTAACTTTTTTTTTTTTTTTTTTTTTTTTGCTTGTCAAAGAATATCTGGACTTGAGCCCCCCACTTTTAAGTTTGTGACTACGCCTCTGCCTTCTCCTTGTGTTAACTTGTTCATTTTAAGTTGCCCCCCCCCTCCCGGAAGAGGGAAAGGCTAACGTTGCCAATGGCGACATGAACTAATGTAGAGCTAGGAAAATATTTCATTCATCGTGTATTCTATATATTCTTTGATCTGAAAACAGATTTTTTCTAAAAGAACTGTCTATATTAACCTTTCATAAAATAAATTATAAGATTTTAATTAAAGAAAATCTACACCATATGTCCTGAATAGATATATAGAGAAACTGGGTCTTTGCACCTATAGGCCCCTAATGTTCAGTAAAGCGTTCGATCGCTGATCTTATGTTTTCCTCGACAACCCCCACCCCCCGTTAATAAAAAATACAGTAAGATATATTTTCTTCGGCAGTGATACCAGGAACATGAGCGGGTGAATTGAAGGAGAGTCACGACATCTCAGTATAGAATACTCCGACCCCCCCCCTCCCTCGGCTAATTATCCAGGTAAAATACGAAAAAATACAAGAGGCCCAAGGGCCTTGAATTGCTCTTCCGATAAATTGTACAATCTATCACTTCTCTTTGAAGCCTGTAACCTTAAGTATCCAAAGACCCAAGTTGCATCAACTGACAAAGTTTGATGATTCTTAGCCAATAATGATTGAAAATATTTTTAATAATAAAGCTATAAAAACCATAAGTACATCACAGTGACCTATATTAAGATTGAAGTTTTCTGAGGACTCAAGATGCATTAATAAACAAAGATTGAAGATTCTAAGCCAATAAGTATTTGAGATATTTAAAAGTAGGTCACCGTGACCTACTTTTTTGTCTACATTCTTTGAAAACCCAAGATACATCAACTGACAAAGTTTGATGATTCTAAGCCAAAAAGTACCTGAGATATTCAAAAGTAGGTCACCACGACCTACTTTTTGATCGACATTCTCTAAAAACCAAAGATGCATCAACAAACAAAGTTTAGTGATTCTAAACCAGTTAGTACCATAGATAGTTAAATAAAGCCATAAAATGTTGAAAGTAGGTCACAGTGACCTACTTTTTTGACATCATTCTCCGAAAACACAAGATGCATCAACTTAAAAAATTTGATGATTCTAAGCCAATAAGTACCGTAGATACTTAAATAAAGCCATAAAATGTCAAAAGTAGGTCACCGTGACCTATTTTTGGTCATCACTCTCCGAAAACCCAAGACGCATCAACTCAAAGTTTGATGTTTCTAAGCCAATAAATACCCAAGATACTAAAATATAGCCATAAAAAGTCAAAAGTAGGTCACAGTGACCTACTTTTTGGACATCATTCTCTGAAAACCCAAGATGCATCAACTTACAAAGTTTGATGATTCTAAGCCAATAAGTACCGTATATACTTAAATAAAGCCATAAAATCTCAAAAGTAGGTCACTGTGACCTACTTTTTGTTTGTTACTCTCTGAAAACCCAAGATGCATCAACTCACAAAGATTGATGATTCTAAGCCAATAAATACCTAAGATACTAAAATATAGCCATAAAATGTTGAAACTAGGTCATCGTGACCTGTATTTTGGTCGACTTTTTTCAAAATCACAAGATGCATCTGCTGACCAAGTTTGATGATCCTTGGTATGAAGGTAATCAAAATATGCCTTTTAAACAATTCGAAAACAAATGCCTGCAAAATTCAAAAAGTAGGTCACAGTAACTTACTTTTTCATAAATATGTTTTAAGGTCCCAAGATGCATCAATTAACAAGATTTGATGATTCTAAACCTCTCAGTGTCTGATATAATTCGATTAAATGTTTTAAGAAGAATTAGTCATAAAGTTCAAAAAGTAGGTCACGGTGACCTACTTTTAAGCTGACGTTGTTCAAGGACCCAAGATGCATCATCTGACAAAGTTTGATGATCATAGGCCTTAAAGTGCCCGAAATATGCCTTCAAATCAATTTGAAAACAAATGCCCACAAAATTTGAAAGGTAGGTCACCGTGACCTACTTTTGAGTTAACATGATGTGAAGTCCTGATGTGCATCAACTTACAAGATTTGATGATCCTAGTCCTAATAGTAAGCAAAATATAAACATTTTTATTATTTGTAAATTTAGGTCAACTTTGAAGTGACCTTCAGACCACGCCCTTTGCCCGAGGGTCATGCCTTGAATAATTTTTAATCTTCAACATATCCTGATCCTTGTATGTAAGTTTGGTGAAAATCTGCCTGGTGGTTCTGGAGAAGAAGATTTTTTAGCAACCAGTACTTTTGGTTTTGTTTTCCTGATTATCTCCCCTTGTTTAAGGGTCCCAACCCTTATTTTAGCATAAAGGGTAGCCCTTGGGCCAAGGATACCCTGTGACAAATTTGACACTGATTGGCCAAGGGGATATTGAGTTATGGCCCATATTCTAAAAAGTTAACGCACACCGTACAACGCACAACGCACACCGCACAAATGGCCATAGCATTAGCTCTTTGAGCCTTTGGCTCAGAAGAGCTAATAAATCAATCAATATACCAAACAATTTTTTTACTTAATGAAACACACAATATGAGGCATTACCCTCTTATCTTTGTTTTCGTGCATCATCGTCTCCATGCCTTTTGCTGAATGCAGTAAAGTTTGCAAAAAATCGGGAGAGTAAAAAAAATGCGTCCAATGTCTTCGATCAAAGCCGCTGGAATGAATCGAAACCACAACACAACGACAGTCCACTACGAAACGTGATGTCACAATACTAATGACGTAAGCGGAATGAGGCAGTCCATTATGACATTCCCTTATTTTTTCAAAACTATTTTTTTTTCAAGTGGAAAATGTTTGCAAAAAGTCTTTAACGTTTATCTAAATATGATGTACGAAAGCCTATTAGAATCAATGAATATACTAAAATAAAACGCAAAAATATTTTAAACAAAAATATTTTTAGAGCTCAAGTGAGCTTTTCTGATCACCTGTTGTCCTTCAGTCTGTAAACTTCTTCACATTTTCAACTTCTCAAAAACCACTGGGACTGGGCCAATTTTAACCAAACTTAGTACAAAGACTTCTTGGGTATAAAAAGGGGGATGTTAAAATGAAGGGTCAATCCCTCTTACAAAAGGAGAAAATAATCTTCTCAAAAACCACTGGGTCAGAAAAGCTGAAACTTGTGACAGAGCAAATTCTAAACTGATCAAATCGTAACCCCCTAGGGAGGGCAAGGTCACCATCTGGAATCCAAGTTTTACACTGATCTATTTTGGAAAAAATCTTATAATCTTCTCAAAATCCACTGGGCCAGAAAAGCGGAAACATATTATGCAGAAGCATCCTGGAGTAGTAAAGATTCTAAATTGTTCAAATAATCGCCCCAGGGGTAGAATAGTGCCACAAAAGGAACCCAAGTTTTACCTTGAAATATTTAGAAAAAAAATCTTTAATTTTCTTCTCAAAATCAATTGGGCCAGAGAAGCAGAACCTTATGTGAAAGCATCCTGGGGTAGTGCAGATTCTTAATTGTTCATATAATGACCCCCAGGGGTTGTCTCAGTGGGGCCACAAAAGGAAATCCAAGTTTTACATTGAAATATATAGGATTTTTTTTTTTGATTACCCCATCCTATTTTTAATATTTTCTTGATTATCTTCCCTTGTAAGGGGGCTTGGTTATTCATTTTTATACCTTTACCCAAAGATGCTTGTACCAAGATTGGTTCAAGTTGACCCAATGGTTCTTGAGAAGTCGAAAATGTGAAAAGTTTATAAATGTGCAGACAGATGGACAGGTAATGTGTAATTAAAAAGCTTGCTTGAGCTTCTGAGCTTTCAGCTCATGTGAGCTAAAAAGTGAACCAATTTAAACTTATATAAACTTGGTTGGAACAGAGAATCCTTCATGGTTTATAAAGTTTTCACTGCCCTGAAAAAATTTATGTTAAACAGGGTAACTTGGTTAGCTATTGAATTCATTCTTTAAGGTTCATAAACCCTCTGCTTACTCATATAAAATGTTGCTTGAACCTTAGTGATTTTTCAACAGAACTGTATTTTATAAAGGAACAATAGACATTTATGTCGTTAAGAGTTTTCTCTCTTATCAGAGTATCTTTGAACCTTCAATGCTGTTGGCTATTTTATTCATCTCCAATGATAGCTTCAGGTCCCTGATTATACACTGTGGAGGAATGTTTCTGTACTAGGTTAACAATTTAGCCATACTTGACAGAAATTACATCTTTAATAATACATGTACATTCCATAATTTTCCAAACTTCTTTCTGTTTACTGAGAGGAAAAAAGCTATATTCAAAAAATAAAATGAAAAATATACATTTGATTTGAATTAATAATTATATAGATACATTAAATATATAACAAAGCTGCAATGCCAGCATTATATCTACATGGATGTATATTTCTATTTTCTAACACATCACTTTTTAATTAAGTAAAACAAAATATACATTTTTAATAGCTGCTTTGAATCATATTTCTGTAGCAAATTGAAAGATTTGAATCCTGATTTATTGGTAAACATCTAGTGACATTCTTCAAATGAAAATTTTGTACACCATTCATTCATAACATATTATACAAATACAAACAAATTGAAATCTACATATATACATCACATTCAAACAAATAGGCAGCAATTCCCATATAAAAAAAACATTGTATTCAATGAAATGCTTTAACATTCAGATGACAAATACTGTGGCCGATGTAATGCAATAATGTTCAGATGAAATGCTGAACACACAGCTATGTCCTGTTCTGTGATTTTTCGATATTGAGACTTGCAAAGTCTGTGAAGAGAGAATTAAGGTGGTCCACTTCCTCCCGTGTCGACACACCCTGTAACTGGTGACACAGCTGATCTATCTGTTCTGCCTCCTGGTGCAGTCCAGAAATGTTTAAATATGCCCTCATCATTTCCCCAATCTGGAAAATAATTACCAGAGGTTAAAGACTTTACACATTCACATAAAAGTCTTCATTAAATACACATTAATTAAAAAGCCTCTTTATTATATGAGAGATATTAAACTTAAGCCTATTACATTTCCTATTAATGAGATAGAAATTTTTGTCCCTTGTCAAGACTAAGATAAAAGGAAAATTAATTTCTAAAGTTTGTCAAAAATTTTTGACTTTTGCATTCCTGGGATTTTCACTGCACTTTAAAAAAGTATTTGTTTTCATTGCCTTTATTTAGACTTCAGAAAAAAATGTTACCTTGAAAATGTAAATAATGGCAACATGTTGACTTTATCAAAAAATATTAACTATACCTCTAGAGTTTCGTCCTTAACCCTTTGTGAGGAATACTCTCTTTCTTCACTCAGGAATCGGAGTCGTGATTTTGCTACACTTAATGGAGTTCTGCCATGTCTATCCACAGACTTCAGATTTGTTCCTATAAAGACGATACACATATATGAACAGAGAATTGTTCCTGTAAACCAGTCTTGGAGGGCCATAAAACTTAGATGAACTTAATTTTGATCTCTGTCTCACTTTTTTACTATCAATATCTTTGATAAAAGTGAGACTGGGATCAAAAGTGAGATCGTTAAAGTTTTATGATCCCTGAAAACAGTATAAAATATAACACAATATCATGGATGGATGCAAACACTCACTTGCCAATTGTTACATTTATACCCCTTTCAATTTTCTTTGAACATAGAGAGAACATTGACAAATATTGAAAATGTTCACATTTTTTCTAAGACAATGCTCATATATATTTAAACAGCCCAGATTGAGGCCAGATAATTATAACAACCGATTCTTACCTGCTTTCAGCAATAGAGTAACCACTGGGACTTGACCTGTGCAAGCAGCTGAAAGTACCAGAGAAAACTTGATATATTAAAATATGTTTTAGTATGACATATACATTTAAACTGATATGTATCATGGCTCAGAGTCCAGATATGTACTTGTAAGAATTTCAACTGAATGTTATTTGATTATATCCTGTGTAATACTAGTATCCATTGTATCTTGAGTAATATCTAAGAAATTTTTTTCTTTGACATTTTTCAAAAGTATTATTCATTTTTAGTGAACCTATTGTGTTTACTTTTATATAACAAATATTTTTCAGTAATATATCCTTCTGTTCTTCCTTTTTCATATAATTAATCTCCTACCTAGGTGAAGAGGTGTATTTCCAAGAATGTCTTTCTGGTTTGGATCTGCACCCTTGTCCAGCAAGGCTTTAACTGAAGAAATTGTTACCAATATAAATATTGCAATATTCATAAAAAAAGTTTAAAACACATGAACATTTGATAAAAGTAAAGGCAAAGAAATATTTTGTCTATACTTATATCTTAAGATTTCACAATTCTCAACAAGTAAAATTAAATTTTATCTAAGATTTAATGCAGCACAGCAAAGTCAAGAAAGACAACTCTAAATTAAAGCTAAATAAAACAAGTTTGAATTTTTTGTGAGTTTATAGTTTCCTGTTCCATTACAGCCTTCCAGTCATCTTATAGCCAAGGGTTTTCGCTCTCTCTCTCTCTTTGTATACGCTCCCCATAAACCCTTGGCCAATATGCACTGTAAAACGCCGGTCACACATAGCGCCTTCTGTAAATTCTTCAGAGAGAACGATAATTCTGGTTGAAGTAAACAGCCGATGAAATGATAGCTTTTATGTATGTTTCGGTAGAAAATTATACACAATATGGCGACTTCCATTGAAACAACATTTGGAATATAAAAATTATATTCTTTCCAACAAAAAGCGATATATGCTTTAACGGACGGACTTTATGTGTTTATAGGAACAAAAACGGGTTTAAACATGAGATAGAATTTTCTCGAAAACTTCTCGAAAGTTCTAGGCTGTAAATTGAAAACAGTTTTTTCATTGGTCCACGGTCGGCTACAACTCTCCAATGAAAATTGGCCGGCGTTTTACAGTGCATATCGGCCAAGGGTTTATGGGGAGCGCTGCGGACCAAAAACCCTTGGCTAGCGAAGATGCCTTCCAGTGTGACTTACCAACTTTTTCATATCCCTGAGATGAGGCAAAATGGAGAGGAGTTCTTTGTTTGTTGTCTGAACAACATGGATCTACTCCATCTTCAAGCAATTCAACCACTGGGGACAAACAAGTCATACATGTAGATTGTAAAAATATATTTCAATGTCTTTTTGTACTTTTTTTCAATAATAATTGTATTTGCTTCAATATTACCTGCATTAAGGTCATTCTCATTAGCAGCATTCTGTAACCTTCTTTCATCTTAAAAGAACAAAAATAAATTCATCCAATTGCATTATGATTAGTAAACAACTAACCATCAGATTTCCCTGCAATTTTTTTGTTTAAAGCATACTTTTTATCTGGTTCATCAAATTACCAAATGTCCTGTTTTCTCACAAGCTATTTTGAATTTTATTATTTAACAATATACATGCATACATCCTAAAATTCCTAAATGTTTTTTTTTTTTTTTTGAGATCCAAAGTCCTTTGCTTTACCTGCAATATAGTTTCCTACAGTGCTGCTACATTTGAATTTCTTCTGTCTCTGCTGCCTATGTGTAACACTGACTTTGACCTTCCCTGGTGTGTCTGTCTGTCTGTAGATGGGCTTGTAAATCGCTGAGAAAGGGACAAGACACAAAAAGTCCAGACCAGACCCTGCTTCTGGTGACCAGGCTGTGAAATCTACTTGGGGAAAATTACTGGTATTCCTGTATCCCCTGATATCTACAAAAAAGTTTTTAAATAAATTTCTTTTTGTAAAATTTTAATCATAACCCACTTAATTTGCCACCTAGTTAGAAATAATTGCTAAAATTGTCAATATACGTATACTTCCAGTTGAGAAGACGTTTAGAATGCAAAAATCATAAATCAAAATGGAATTTGTACAAAAGTTGTTTCCCTTTGCGGGGTCAACCAAAAGGTCAAAAGGGAAAGAAACAACATTTCTCCTCTTTATGCTACCAAACATTTGGGTTGGCTTTGATGAATCCACTGTGTTTCAATTGTTTTCTTTGGATGTGTGGGTAGCCCCAACATGGGGCAATCAGTATACAGTATGAAACGATTTTTCCCAGTCAAATGACGAAGTTACAAACCTGAAAACTACAAAGGGTACTGTGAGGATTCTATGGGTTTATCCCCTAAAATGGCAGCCAAGGGACATAACTTTTGAAAAGTGTGGATTCAACTATTGATGTACAAGCAGAAAAGCTGCTTCTTGTTGTTGAGAATAAAGAGATAAATACAAGGAAGGATGTGTATGTTCATATGGAAGTCTCAAATTTTTATCCATGGCGATTTAAATTTTACAGTTTTACACCGCATTCAATATATATTTTTACTATTTTTCTCACATTCGGACAATTATTTAAAAATAATAATAAAATGTGTATTTTATTTTTACACCCTACATTGCCCATAACCAGTCATTTGTTTACACCGTCCCGTTTTGGTCGTTTATTATTATTTTTTTAAATATTTCAATAATGGACGCGTAAACACCTTTAGAAAAAAAGAAGAGTGAAAGCGATGTTTTTGATCCCTGTATTGCTATGTATGCATATTATATTACTAAACAGAAAGCAAATACTTTACATACTTCAAAATTTTCATCGCTGTCATCACTCATCGCTTTCTGTTTTGAAAGTAAGCATTTTTGGAATCTCGTGCCCGATCAGAATAGCTTTGTTTCACGTAAAATTTTTTCAATGTTCTTTATCTGAAAATATAATTACCCGAATAAATATCAGTTTGCTTTCATGAGCACAATGGCAATGAATGGGGATCAACTAGGAATTATGTAGACCCAGTCCACAATAATATCAATTTAACAGCAATACCAAAGATGCCCCCCCCCCCAAAAAATCAGCACTTAGGTACTTTTTAGTCATCTTTCGACATAATTACTGGCTCGTTAATTTAGATTGATATCAAAGAAAACACTCAATTTTCAATTTCTTTATTGCAAAAGACGAACGTCTTATAGCATTAATTGATACAATTTATAAAAAATGAAATAATCGAAAATGGACGGTCAGTCCTTGTAAATCCATATCAAACACATTATATACATACAAAATTTATATTTCGTATGAATGAAATCATCAAAATTAAGTGTTTTTTGATGACAACTCAGCTTTATGTACTGCTATCAGAGTAAAGTCTGTTATCTTACCAGAAGACCCATATCATTTTTTCTTTGTATGCAATAAGTACCAATATGCTAGAGATAAACTAATAAGAAATTTATTGTGTCTTACTAAACCAAATACTACATTGAATATTATTGATTGCCACTTACCTCTGTTGGGAGATGAGTCGCAAAATGTGGAAGTCAACAAACATATTTTTCAATCAGTTCAAAAATTTATAAGAGATTCTGGTAGATTTAATTCATTATTACAGCCTAACACTTAAACTCTTGATATAGTTATATCATGCGTAACGAATGTATGCTTTTAAAACAAACATGATTGTTTATCAGTATTTTTTCCGCCTGTTTCTTCCTATGCATAGACATTGACCGTTGTAGCATTTTATGGCGAGAACCTCGTAAGTTGTTAGAACTTGTGTTCAAACCATTTGTATAGTATTTATACAATAAAATAGCGGTATGTTCAAACCATCACTCAACGTTGAAAATGTAAATCTAGCTTCCATTCAGTCTTTTCGTCAAATCTTTAAAAAAAAAACAGTCATTGCGTTGAAGTCCTGTGCAATAAAATTATTAATAAGATACTACAGTAGGTAGTATTAATTTTCTTGAAAAAAAAAAAAAAAAAACTACAATCACAAGTTAAGAGGGAGTGTTTATTAGTTTTGGATGTTAATCGCATTAAAAAAAAACTAAGAAAAAAAATAGTCGTTCGTCGAAAAATCAATACGCAGCTTTTTCGAAAAGTCTTGCAACACAATGATGTATACGCAGATTCATATCACAGAAAACAAATACATTGTATTCATGAGGTTTGTATACACATAAATTCCTTTAGTCTGTTTTTGAAAAAAAAAATTCCAGAACATACAATATATCTAAATGAAGTGTTGACTTTTTAACCATGTTTCGAATTCAAGTGGACCTAACTTATTTGGATTGACATTGCATTTTTGTCCAGTGCGATGAAGCGCAATTACATTGATTTCTCATTCAGATAAGCTGTATCAATTCTCATGCCAAAAAATGCATTCCTCAGTCAAAGAGGAGTATTATTTCTTCTGGATGTTTTGCACAAAGAAAACTACTCGTTCGATGAAAAATTAACAATAAGTAAACTTGTTGCAAAGTACTGCGACTCAATTATATACTGATTGTTAATTCTGAACAAATACTTTAAAAAATGTGAATTCCAGTCCTCTTTTCCCCTTAAGCTTTCTTTCAGATCACGAAATAAAAAGAGTAAGGATTCTCATCCATATTATGGATTTCATTCTGGAAATGAATTGATTGAATTTATTTTGATTGGACAATTTGCCATTGATTGGACAATATTGCCAAGTAATACAATGCGCGTGCGTTGCATTGTATTGCATCAGAGTGCAGCATGGTCCCATTAGAAGAAACACTCCACCACCATCCACCCTTTCAGACATCCTATTTATACATTTTATCTAGTGCGATTGAATACATGTTGTGAAATTTGCATAATGCAACTTTGTTACAAAGTTCGATAACTCAAAGTATGGCCCTTTGAACAACGTGAGCAAAACGATCTTTGCTCTCTGCTTTTATATTATGCAAATGTTTGGACAAAACTAATGGATGACAAGCTTATATACCATATAAAACTTTAGAGAGTCCCATATAAATAGTCTGAGAAAATAGGGGTGATGTTGGGTGAAAAGTTTGATTTTAGTGTGAGTTTCTCTCACTACACAATTTCTGCTAAGCATGACTGAAAATAGCGTTTAATTGTTAATCGGTGCTTTGCTTGATTGAGTCTCAAAATGTTCACTCGTCAGTCATTCAGGAAAGTTCATTTGATTTTTCCGAACAAGTATATCAGAGTTCTTCTGAAGAAGACTGAATTTGAAAGATAAAAAAGTTCATGAAATCGTAGTACAACGAATATGGACCAAGTTTTTGTTTTAGATAGATAGTGCGTCAATTATATTGCAATGCAATGCAGTGCCGTTATATCTTTATGTTAGGGCAGAACCAACTAGCTTGCAATTATTAAAGAAATTTATTCCACACAAAGTTTCCTCTGAATGTTTTGCATGATATACTCAAGTTTATTTTCGGACAAAGAAATCAGCAAAATTAAGTGTTGTTTGATGACAACTCACTCAGCCCTAAGTACTGTTATCAGGGTAAATTCTGTTACCTTTCCTGGTGAATATCTGCACTTCTCTCAAAATTTCTAATTGTCAATTAAACTCGAGAATTCTATTCTTATACTTAAGTAGTGGTTTGACTGAGCACTAAAGCATTTCACAGTCATCTTTCGACATAATTACTGGCATGTTAATTTAGATTCACATTAAAGAGAACACTCAAAGCCGAAAATGTGACTCTAGCTTCTATTCAGTCTCTTCGTCAAATCTTTTTAAAAAGACATTGCGTTGAAGTCCTGTGCAATAAAGTAAAAGTAAATTCTTGTTAAGATACTACAGTAAGCAGTGTTAATTTTCTTGAAAACATTCCAGAACATACATGTACAATAAATGGAGTGTTGACTTTTCAACCCTATTTTGAATTCAAGTGGACCTTACTTATATATTATTGACATTGCATTTTTGTCCGGTGCAATACAGCGCAGTATATTCTCATTAAGATAAGCTGTATCAATTCTCATGCAAAAAAAATGCGTTCGTACGTCAAAGAAGAGTATCTATTTCTTCTGGATGTTTTGCGCAAAGAAAACTACTCGTTCAATGAAAAATTATCTATACGTAAACTTGTCGCAAAGTCCTGCGACACAATTATATACTGATTGTTAATTTTGAACAAATACTTTAAAAAATGTGAATTTAATTCAATCCCATCCAGTCGTTTTTTTTTCCCTAAACTTTCTTTCAGACCACGAAATAAAAAGAGTTAGGATTCTGAACCATATTTTTGATTTCATTCTGGAAATGATTGAAATTATTTTGATTGGACAATTTGCCATTGATTGGACAATATTGCCAGGTAATACAATGCGCATGCGTTGCATTGTATTGCATCAGAGTGCAGCATGGTCCCATTACACTTCTCAGTGTAGAAGAAACACTCCCCCACCATCCACCCTTTAAGACATCCTATTTATACATTTTATTTTGTGCGATTGAATATATGTTGTGAAATTTGCATAATGCAACTTTTGTTACAAAGTTCGATAACTCAAAGTATGGCCCTTTGAACAACGTGAGCAAAACGATCTTTGCTCTCTGCTTTTATATTATGCAAATGTTTGGACAAAACTAATGGATGACAAGCTTATATACTATATAAGACTTTAGAGAGTCCAATATAAATAGTCTGAGTAAATACCGGTGATCTTGGGTGAAAAGTTTGATGTTAGTGTGAGTTTCTCTCACTACACTAGCATGACTGAAAATAGCGTTTAATTGTTAATCGGTGCTTTGCTTGATTGATTCTCAAAATGTTCACTCATCAGTCATTCAGGAAAGTTCATTTGACTTTTCCGAACAAGTATACCCGAGTTCTTCTGAAGAGACTAAATTTGAAAGAAAAAATGTTCATGTGCTTGAGAAATGTTTAGTTTTTCTCAGAAACAGCA